TCAAAAAATAATTTTCGCTGAAACTTTTGCTATGGGGGTTATCGAGGGTCCTGATCACGAATATGACATCCATTTTTGGCGCTGGCGCCAAATTGGCGCCATTTGGCGCCAGCTGGCGCCACTACTGATTATCACCAAATTCGCTGTAAACTTCTGTATAGGGGTTATTTGGGGCCCTGATCACGAATATGACACTGGTTTTTAACATTCGTGCTGTTTAACGCATATTTTCTGTTTTCTAAGCTTTCTCACCTATAGCGCCTAGGACTAAGCTTAGGGGAGGGGAGTGAAACTCCGGAGTGGGTGAACCACGCACCGTGTGGCAAAAGTTGGAGTGTGTTAGACCACAGGGGATGGCCTACTCACTTTGGAGCCCTCCACTATTCAAAGGCTTAGTCCTGATTGCGATCTAATTAGTGCGAGGGCGCAGACGAGCAGGAAATAGGCGCCGAATAGCGCTAACAACAAAAACGAATGTCATATTCGTAATCAGGACCCCAAATAACCCCTATACAGAAGTTTACAGCGAATTTAGTGGGAATCAGTCGTGGCGCCACCTGGCGCCAAATGGCGCCAAATTGGCGCCAGCGCCAAAAATGAATATCATATTCGTGATCAGGACCCTCGATAACCCCCATAGCCGAAGTTTCAGCGAAAATTATTTTTTGACCCATCTCACCCCTACTGGGGTTGTAATAGTGCAATAGTGCCCAATATTTACATGAACCATGGAACGATCCGAGGGTTGAAGAGTTAGACTAGCGGCAATTCTTCTCATTTAGCCATTCATTTCTTTTTTTTTCAGGACGTTCCGCAGCGAATACCTTTCTGTTCTACGATGTAAGAGGAAGGAGCGGAAGCTATTTGTTAAGGGATTATCGCAAACGCAACGAAATTCCCACGCTACAACGATCTCATAAAGGGCTATTGATGGCTCGTCACATGCAAACTGGCATGGTGCTGCTTCCTGTATTGTCAAGCAGTAGTTCAGATGTCATATCTTGTTGAAATTCAAATTTGCCTTACAAAAAATAGTCTTCTGTGTGACAGATTTGCTGTGATGGCCTGCTTTAGCACTCTCTATGGTTATAATCTATCTGATCTAGTTGATTCTTATTTAGCTATCTCCGTGAAACAAATAAATAAGCAATAAATTAAATTAATTAAATTATTTAAATTAAATTAATAAATAATTACAGAATAAAATATTCGCAGTTTTCTGGTTGATTGTGATGTGGGCACGAGATCCCAAAAACATCTCGAATGATCGAAGCCCAGGTCCATAGCCTACTGTATTCAACCTCCTTAGAGGATTTAATCCAAGTGAGAAGGGAAAAGGAAATGTGGAGATACTAAGCTTTTCCTAAGTATAATCCAAGAAAGAAATGGAAAACTAAACTGCAAGGCCTATCCATGCTGATTTCTATGTTTTGATTGTATTTCGTACAGGAGTTTGCCTAATTGCCTACAGTGCTCAGCGACTAGACTCATTACTCCTGCTGATGTCGAGGCACCGGGTGTTGGGTGAGTGCTAGCACATTTGAACAATGGGAGAAGGGAAGAGATCGAAGACTTTTCCTACACGAAACCTGACTGATAGCGTTTTAGGCTAAGCACTACCTAAGATCAACAGTAAATTATACTGGAACGTTATCCTACTATATATAATTCGCTAAGTGTGTGTGTTTGTCACGAAATGAAACGAAGGTTATAAGCAAGTGATAAGAGCTGATAAGAAGCGTTGGAACGCAAATGTCACGTAACTCACAGCTGCAAGTCCCAGCAACATTGAGACGTTGTTTGCAGATATGATATAGGGGATGGGACGGGAACATATTTGATGGGGCCGGAAAGTGATAGCAGCTGATAGGGGCTGATAAGGATCGTTGGGAGGCGAATGTCGCTGAAGGTTCTATCCAGATGCGCGATAAGAAAAATCTCATTTCTCAGCGATATCGTCGTGATCCAATCGACCGCTAATCTGTTCGAGCTTCTTGAATAGTCGGTATCCGTAAAAATGCTATAAGTTTGGTGTTTCTATTTTATCACCGGCATAAAAGGTTATTCGACCGCTAAACGATCCCAACATCCGAAGCTGATAGAAGTTCACGCTCAGGGCTGAAAATAAGCAGACCATGTAATTGTATTAGTTATCAAGCCGCATGCGGCCTAGACTGTGTAAGTTCTATGTAGAAAATGTGGATTGTTGAGTGCGCATTTGACGAACTATGAGAGATTACCTTACATTATAAAAAAGCCTGATTATCTCTACGATCTGCCGAATCCATTGAAAGCAGTATGCTACTCTATGCAATAGCCCGGCTATACTTATGAAGGCTACGTTGACATGCACGCGGTAGCGAACGGAGCCAAACTGGCCAGTAATATTTTATAAAAGAAGAGTCTTCAATCTACATCTGTCCTGAACTGAAATGATGAAGCTCAGGATCAATCTAACTATATATATTCGCTGATAGCTGCTGTGATGTGAATGTGTGCGTCTGTTTGTCACGAAATTCATAGCGGGCTTCGCTGCAACGATGGAACGCTGTAATTTTAGTATTATGTAGGGCCAGAACGGGAACATATTTGATGAGGGACCTAAATGATAACGGCTGATAAGGGCCTGATAAGAGGCGCTGAAAGGCAAATTTCATGGAATTCATATCGCGCCTTTCAGCAGCAATGAGGCGTTGGTTTCAAGAAGGAAATGTAGAGGGTGGGACGGGAACATGTTCTGATGGGAACCGGTAAGTGATAATTGCTGATAAGAGGCTGATAAGGGCTGCTAAACGCAGCTTTTACGAAATTCACATGGGTAGTCCCAGCAGCAATGAAGGTGTTGTTCGAAGGATAATGTAGGAGGGATGCGACGGGACATGTTTGGAAGACTGATAGTGATTGAAGGGTTGATAGAGCTGATAATGAGTGCTAGAACGCAATTTTAGAAAATTACAATGAGCGTTCCCAGCACAGTGGAGGCGTTGAGTTTCGAAAAAGTGAGATAACAGTGATAAGATGTAACAATGATCGCGTAATGACATAAAGTGTCACTCGAAACGAGAGGTCTAGAGAACGCTTTATTCAATAACATTCTCTTTGCTGTTGTTATTCTTAACCCAAAATACCATTCGGCCGCTCACCTCCCTAGAGTTCCTAAAAATGTACGGTGGATGTTTGAGTAAACATGATAATGAGTAGCTGGGTATTTCCATTTCAAATTCATTAGCGTCAAAGGTTATTTCGACGCCAAATTATTTTGACATTTTATGCATTGGTGTGTTGTTTACAGACACCAGTTTAGCTCCTATCTGCGACGTGTATCAAGCGGAGAGACAGCAAACGCATTTCACTGGAAAACTTACTTTTTACCGGTAAACCTAACGTTCCACCGACTTTTTCGCCCAAGCCTTCGGTGTGATGCGCGCGGTAGCGTGCGGAGCTAATGTTCGGTAACAATGGTGGGAATGCTTCTAGCGCCACTGTAGCGCACTTTGGTACGTGCAGAGCGGTACAACTTGCCGATTCCCCAGATTGAACAGCTTCAGGCTATATGGCCTTAGAGGAGACATCCAAAAGGTTGTCGATAGATGACGTTTAGGATTAGCTTTCGGCCCTTGGCGGTGGTATTGTCATCCATTAAATGTTGCATCGCCGGTGCAGACAGATATTTTTTACTCCGCTGCTAGAGTTCACGACCGCTCGGCACGCTTTCCCTTCTAATTATGCTTTGACGCCATTTTGTTAGCATTGCAGAAGTATCCTGCACAAGGCAGAATGACGGCGCAGGTGATCAGGCAAGTGCTAGTAAGCTGCAATCTTTCAGCAGTACTTGACAGGTATATCATTTTGCGATCAAAAAATAGTATACGAATAATGTTCTGGAAGATCTTAAACTTTCCCGACCTGAATACGAAATTTGGAATTTTTCCGACATTAGCTAAAAACCACAAGAAGAAGCAGTGTCAGTTTTGAAGGCTTTAGAGTTCCTCATTTTGTTATCAAAAAGATTTCAAATTTTCCTTTAGTAGTTTATTTATGTGTCCGGATGTGATAAACAATAGCAAGAAAGATTTTTTTCAACGGAAGAAAATTCAGGGGGTTAAGGTGAAAGGGTTAAGCCCGAGGAGAGGGGAGAAGCGAAGTGATCGCGTGCCGTTCACATCTCCTCTAAAACCCTTTTCCCTCTCTAACCATAAGGCTTATTCCCGAGCGCTGTAATTGGCTCATCACTTGAATTACTGCCCTAGCCCCAACGACTAGAGCGCCCAGTTCGCATCTACACACAATAGAAGTTATTAGATAGCTGAGAGAGCGTAGTGTTGAAGAGGGCACAGCGATGAGAGTCGCATCAATGCTCAAATCAACGGGCAAGGAAGGGGTCCCATTTCTCGGGTTCTGGGCCGTTTCTCATGGTTCTTCCTTCTTTCGTGTACCACTCACCATCCCTAGGTTAATTTGAAATGGGTTGCTTTTTCATCGTGAATTCGTCCTTTAAGTCATCGCGTGGTCCCCCTTTACCGATCTACACCAGGTACTTCTGCACATCCTGTGCGATACTGCTCACAGTACTACCACCTCAGAGTTACGGCAAATGGAGAACCGCAGCACAGTAGAAAATCAAATTGAAAGCTTTGCAGATGCTAGGGGGCCCTTGGGCGAATGATAAGCAACCGTAAGTGGACAGGATTGGTCCCACTTTCTTATTCTTGGCAAGAGGAGCTAATGACCAGACAGTGGCGCTGAGACGGGGAGGGGAAGACCGCTCGAGGTATCGAGCACTACCAACAGTACGTGCTTCCATACGTGACAACAGGGAGTCATAATCAACCCTTTCAGTTCGCGATGATCGGTCGCTAAAATCAGTTGGATTCAGGATGTTTGAGGTAGGAGAACTCCGCTGTCACTCTTATGGATATGAAATTCAAGCTATTTTGACAATGTTCAGGCAAAATAATACGGTTGTTTATTAAAAAGATTATATGTGCAGAATTTCCATGATGGCACGTACAGCCGTCTATAAAACACCACACAGCCAGCAGTCACGATCTCAGTCGCTCTTTCTCCTCCAGCGGGTAAGTCTTGCACTCAAAATGCCAATGTTTTTCTATTGTCAAGGAACCGGCTCACAAAAAATAAAGAAAGCCTGAGCTATTTCCATCGACACTGTAATCCCGTTGTGATGTTGCGAACCAGCTGATCAGAGGTGTTCGCAAGAAATGAATGTTCTGATAAGCGAATCTGCTTCATGGAACGTTCATAGTTGGCGATCGTACGTGCGATTAGGCGATTAGGCGATTAGGCGATGATTCAAAAAGAAAAGTATACGTATCGATTAGGCGATTAGGCGAGTAGGCGATTAGCGATTAGGCGAGTAGGCGAGTAGGGAGAAGAGAGAAGGATACGTATTGATTTGTTGCTCCGCCCATTGAGCGATCGCCTAATCGCCTAATCGCACGGACGATCGCCAACTCTGAACTCTCCATTCATCTTAGTGGTCAGGAATCATTACTGGCCAATAGGGAATGGAGTGTGGCTGCTAGTTTGGGGAATAGCCGTCAAGCCTTTGGAAGCAACGGTTTACAATGGCCGCTGGTTTATTGACTGCCATGAATTTTAAACACCTGTCGCGCTATACGGACATCGTAATAACTTCGTATAGCCGTTCCGGCCTCCGTCGTCGACTCGCGAATATATACATATCCTTGAGCTTCAGATGATCCGAGAGAGGCAGTGTATCAAAGAGTTTTTTGATTTGGTTCTTTTACAAATAAAACCCCTTGTGAGCGAGCCATAAACAATGCTGGACTCTTCATATACAGAGTGAATCATGGATGGCGCCAAACAGTCTGTTTGCACTGTTCATAGATAAGCACTCCTCGTGACATGGTCGTGCGTAGCAGGCAAAGATCTGCTGGCTTATGGAGGGCGGGGAAGGCCTGTCACTGCTCAGGTGTACCGTTTGAAATTTGGAAGACAGTTTTCCAGGAAGAATCACGAAACATCGACGCGAAGCTTTTGCTCAGGTGGACTGCATTAGCACCCTATTTTCGAAGGGTATCGTAGAGTTGTTGTTGGAAACTATATTCATTTAATCAATTGTTGGCGCTCCTCTCTTGTCTCTCCCTCGCGTTAATCCGCCGCGCTTGCAGAGTCCGAAATTTTTTGAATTCTTTTAGAATGAATTCAGTACATGTTTATGGCAGTGCAGTGTAAAATATAGAAGAATTTCTGAGAAAAAATTTCTTTCAGGAGCAGTGCAAGTTTCTTTCAGTGGAATGAATGCAGCTACAGGTTGATCCTATACTTCTATCACACATGAATAACCTGGTTTCCTAATCACTTACATTAGAGCCTCGTACCCAAGATGAAATACAATTTTCAGCTCCAGTCCATATATATAAATTTAATATGAACCACGGTAAGTACACTTTCACCTTTGGTTAAAAGCAGAAAGTTGCAATTTCAAAACTACATTTCTCTGTTATCACACAAAACTTGTCCAGGAAAGAATGTGCGAGATTGAAGGAGGTAAAACGAAAAGAAGGAGATTCTTTTGGCGGTAACTGGGCAGAAGTCGCCACTAGGCCATTCTCAACGTACTGAAAGTATCAAAATTCTAAACTTCCCGGAAAGATCTTCTAGCTCTAGAGGCTTTACTATTACTACTGTATTCTTTGATTGGATGCGTTTGAAGGAAATAATTATTTCAAAAAGTGTCAAAAACCGTGCATCTCAAAATTTTCCTCTTTTGCATTTTGCAAACCTCCAAAACGAGCCACTTTTGACATACTTAAAATAACAACGGAACTTGCTCTGAAATTGATTGAAGAAATTTGTTAACTTCATGCTACATTTACTTTCCTGATGAGATACTTTTGGAGGAAGTTATGAGCTTTTGAAGGTGTAAAAACTCCAGGAAATTTTCTTTATCATACCAGAACACATAACTTCTCATTAGCGTTCACGATTTCAATAATTCTGTTTCTTTTCAGTATAATATACCAAAATAAGAGATTCGTTTCAGAAGAGAGCCTGCCAAGTTTTTTGGCATTTTCTTGCGTTCTATGTCCTCGTTCCGTTGTTCACTGCAGAACTGGCATTGAAATGGCCTCCCAGTGGGGCATACCTGGAGGAAGCCGGTATGTGTCTTAAGAGCTGAATAAGCTGTGCTTGACTTAGAAAGCTTGTAACTAACTCCCTGATTAGTGGCCAAACTAGGCGTATGGTAATATGTGCAATTTACCTATTTGATGGCTTAGTTAATGCTAGCTGTGTTTCTTGTATATATTCAGACAATTACAACACTACAACAGCGGAATCAGATATTGTTTACCAGATTAGTCCCCCGTCAACCGCCGGGACCTTCCTTTCCTGCGCAAGCTTTCTATCCTCCGCTATGGTCCCTTCCTCCTGTGACACAACACCACCTGGAAGTGACGCGTATGCAACACAATGGTGTTTCATACAGTAGAAGGGACACAATCATGATATGACGGTAGATTTTTCGCTTCCCTTCCTCATCCTCCCTTCCTCTCTCCACTGCCCTCCAGCTGCCACTGCAGCACCATGTGGAATGAACGGAAGTGTGCTAAGCAGGTGTTTATATAGCCCTAAGAGTGTTATCACAACTATCCTGCTACAAAACATTGATATCTCAAATCCTGTAAGCTACCCGATTTGTTAGCGGTTTGTTTATCCCATGAGCTTCCTTCTCACTCACTTCATTTTGCGGACGGACACACATACACACACACACATACAGATACACAAACCGACACACAAAGTTAGCGCTTTATAAAATAGAAGGATTAGATTGATCTCGAAAGTATGCGTAATATTAGCTGCGTACTGTAGGGTGAATCATCCTCCTTCTCTTTCCGTTCCTGAACCTAGATTAGGTCTTACAGTTTAGTTTTTTGTGGTTGTAGTAGACAGGTTTGCATTCTAACACAGACCCTACCTCTGATTGGCTTAAAGGAAGCGATTACGATAAGGAAGGGCCCCATCGGGCGAGTATATGCGCTACACGAAGCAGGTACTGTCAAGGAAACGATGTGTGACGCTTTACAAAAACGTGCCCTAATAGCTGAGGGCTTCCAAACCATTCCACCCAGAAAGCGTTACGCCCACTAGTCCCGTCGGTGATGACTTCGGCGATTGTTTGGCGTGTTGGTTTTCATTGATAGTCATTTCCCTTGTAGCGGCTGCATCTTCTAAGTCCCCTACGTAATCTTTGTTAATCAAAACGTCGTATATCGTATCATATGATTGTTGGGGTTACGGGCGGCTATCGGGGTTGACACGTTCGAACAACTTCTCTCCTTGTCGCCGCTCATCCATGGTCGGAAATGAAAGGGCAAATAATAGGGTACTAGATTGCTCATTCTTAACAGATTCCTTTGTTTCTTTCACCATTGTGTACCACTGAGCAAACCTCACGCCCTTTCTAAACCCTCAAATCTATCGTATCGCTGCTTTTAAGCGCAACCTCGTGCAATAGTAAACAATAAATACGAATAAATTCATTAATATAGAATCCTTCTATTTTATAAAGCGCTAACTTTGTGTGTCGGTTTGTGTATCTGTATGTGTGTGTGTGTGTGTGTGTATGTATGTGTGTCCGTCCGCAAAATGAAGTGAGTGAGAAGGAAGCTCATGGGATAAACAAACCGCTAACAAATCGGGTAGCTTACAGGATTTGAGATATCAATGTTTTGTAGCAGGATAGTTGTGATAACACTCTTAGGGCTATATAAACACCTGCTTAGCACACTTCCGTTCATTCCACATGGTGCTGCAGTGGCAGCTGGAGGGCAGTGGAGAGAGGAAGGGAGGATGAGGAAGGGAAGCGAAAAATCTACCGTCATATCATGATTGTGTCCCTTCTACTGTTTGAAACACCATTGTGTTGCATACGCGTCACTTCCACGAGGTGTTGGTGTCACAGGAGGAAGGGACCATAGCGGAGGATAGAAAGCTTGCGCAGGAAAGGAAGGTCCCGGCGGTTGACGGGGGACTAATCTGGTATTATATAACCAGAACTTTGGTGTGTCGGTTTGTCGGTGTGTGTGTGCGTGTGTCGTTCTGTCCGTCCGGACCGACCGCTCACAAAACCAGGGAGTACGAAGGGCAACACTTCGTGATGTTGATCATGATCATGATATAACACCCACAGCGGCTATATAAACACCGATCGAGCACACTCAGTCTCATTCCCTACATGGTGCTGCCGTGGCAGCCGGATGAGCGGAGGGGAGCGTGGAGGGGGGGGGCGATAGAAGGAAGAGGGGTAGAGAGAAGGGGGCAAGAAAGGTGAGGCTGGAAAGGAGGGGGAGAGAGAGAAAGAGGGAGGAAGGGGGAGATGAGATGGGGAGGGCTGGCGCGATGCGCTGTTTATGCGGGGGTATAAGGAGGGGGGGGAGGTGTGGGAGGCGAGCGCTGAGCGAGAACCGGCCGTTTCAAAAAAGTAAAGGTCTACATTAGAATGTTGTCTATTATTCTAAACTGATGTGGTGATTGTGATAACACCTACAGTGGCTACAAAAACACCGAACGACACTCAGCCTCATTCTAAATGGTGCTGCCGGTGGCAGCCGGAGCCGGCCGGGCGTAGAGGGGGGGGAAGCGGAAGGGGAGGGGAGAGAGAGGGAACTGAAGTGGGAGCGGAAGAAAAGGGAGGAGAACATGGTGCTGCCATGCGCCGGAGAGAAGGGGTATAAGGAGGATATAACACATTCAATAGTGAGGTGGTTAATGGAGTACGTCATGCTGCTATTCCGTGATTCCTCCCTACCCTGTGATGCGCGCGATAGCGGGCGGAGCAAACCTGGTTCAATAAATAAAATGAACTGGCCACTAATACTATCTTTTCTTGATTGCCTCATCAGCTAAAATGACTTAAAAAAGGAAAGTATACCCTCAGTCTTTCTAATCCGAAATGTCTGACGAATCATAAGAGGCGAGAGAGAGTGTATTCCTTGTCATATTCTCCTTTAGTGTGTATTCAACCTCCTTCGACTTTTGTTTCTCACGATTCCGCTCCCGCTAATCAAAATTAGGAGTGTTGATTTTTTTCATACCTTTGTGCCTAATGTGTAGATATGCTCTTTGATGCTGGTTTTTTTTATCGGGTTCCTATCACAGTCGATACAGCTAAATATAAAAAAGTAAACTGTAAAGTAAAAAGCAAAAAATGCAATTTATTTAAGATATTATTGGTTGTTCAGGCTCATCGCCCATATTTGTCGACGATCTCAGCAGCAGTTCTTCGTATTACGGTGACGTTGAGGTGAATTTCCATCCGAACTATCTACCTATGATTCCAAAGCATGTACTGTACTTGCACGAAATCTGAACGAGTTTTTGTGAGAATGTTTCACCATTTCGTTGACTTGTTATGTCTATAGATACTGACGTTTACTTGTGATGCAGTTGTCTTTTATAGCATTCATTTTGTTGAATTTTACACTTTCATTACACGTGCGGACTTGATAAGGAATCTCTACTGTTCTCGTAGCGAAATTCTCATGTTACTCGTTGAAGAACGCGCTGTTGCAGAGTGCGGGTCAAGCTTGGGATGGCTGTGACATGGGTCAAGAAGTACGAAACACATACCAGTTGAGTGAAGCTCCGCCTACAGTGAGCAAGGCACGTGGTGCGTGACGATTCAATCGTTGAGCTGGCTAGGTCGCCGCGCCGGCTGTCGCAGCCCGCGGATGTATCTGTTTGTGGCTCTAGTACTATTTAGGGTTCTAGCATTGGGAAATGAAGGATTAGATGATTTTTACAGTCGTGAATCACGGTATATGATAACCTGCTCCCTTTAAAATACAGGTTCCCTGTCCCTTGCCATTATTTACAAACTTATTCTGCCATATTAATGTTATTGCCTTCCTCACCGTTCCACTGCGTCTTAGAACGTAATATTTTTCCGATTGAGCCAGATTGTCGCTCTCTGATAACAGTTCAGGCAGTTGATTAATAAAGAAGTCAAATTATGTTCAAAAGGACAACCTTTACATGGCACAAGCTCCGTACAGGGAGGCTTAAATAACTGCAGAGACCTTAAGGTGACTCTTGTTGGCTCACTGATGTCTGGAACTTTGGTCTTATCAGTTTCTCTAACCCCACCAGCTTCTTAACAATGACCGTTAAGCCAAGGCCCATACAAAAATCGCCGCACCAATTGCCGCGCGCGACGCTGACCGCCGCGTGAGCGGCGTGACCTCATTAGCCGACGATTGAATTGACCGTCTCCCCAGGCAGGTACCGAAATTGGCCATGCGACGGCGAAAATTCGTCGTTCGGTCACAGTACAGCCTGAAGGCCTGGCAAATGATACAAGTTGTGGGCGTGCGTTCACAAGTCGTATTAAAGCGAGACTTGTACCGGTGGCTTAGCGTTTACTGAGTGGGTGGTGCCTCATCAAATTAATATCTAACTCGATTAGGAGAAAGTCAATAGAGCAGGAAAAAAGGATGTAGGAGAGCCATATCTATGGTGTTCTAAGCATACCTTGCTGAAGGAAGGCCTCCCACAACAGGCAGAGCGTGTCTTCTGAGTGGGGCGGTGTTTATTACACAATCTTTCTAAGTCGGTTCAGAGAGGTGACAGAAACCGGGAAAAAATTGGATGGTTGTTAGAGGAGGAGGAAAGGTGAAATATCAATGCTTGGCGTGCACCACTGTGGACGTGTTTTCCACCCAACTTATAATTACAAGAAGACTAGGAAAGCGGGAAATAGAGTTCAGCAAAAGAGGGAAGGCCGAGTGCGCCAGCAACTATTATAACTTTGGTTCCGAAAAGTCCCGGAGAATGGAAAGATGGGAGACGAAGGAGAATAACGTGTTGTTTCTACTATGATTTCATGGTTACTGAGAAACATTGAATTTTATGGATATAGACCTGATTTTGATTGAAAATAAGCACTGAATGGCCGAGACGGGCTTCACCTTCACTGAATTCGTCTCACCTCGCGAGATGAGAACTTGCCCAGCCGAGTATCCTTTCAAGAATTGCATAGCTCCTCTCAATATTGTACAACCCTCAATCGGAGGCAGACTCTACCGTCCGTTGTACCAAAGCACAACGAGGGAGTTGTTTCTGACGATTTTTTAGGAAACTCTGGGGAGGAAGAGTGGAATGAAGAAAACTAGAGCATTTTAAGGACCAGTTACCAATCAACCGCCTATATCCCTGCCCCACACTAGACGGCCCTTTCGGAGGAAAATGGGGCTAGACCGAAAACTTGTGGGTGGCAGGGGATCCGTGCGGTGTGACCCATCGGTAGAGGGTTGTATCCGTGTGTGTGACCCCATCGTGGGCGGTTGCAAGGGAGTCGCCGAGATTCCCCCAAGGGTGGGGAGATTTTTTGAATAGGTAGTGTACTTCAGATACTACCAGATTATGTAGACCGTACTCTGGCATTAAAGTCGAGGTCCGGGCTTAGATTCACTGAAATAGCCTTCCGTGGGTGGAGGGGTGGGGTCTGCCAGTGCAGAGGTGCGCCACTCACGCATCGAAACGGGTCGCTCAGGTTCTAGGCGCTGAACACGGAGTACCCCAGGAGGCCCATCGCGCGGCAAGAAGGCAGAGTCGGCGGACGAGTTGCGGCGCGTGATGTGCGATGAAGGACGTGCAGTGGGACATTCTATTTAACTTGACGCGATTTCCCTAATACGCGCGCGACTCGTCCGCTGACTTCGGCCTTCTTGCCGCGCGACGGGCCTCCTGGGGGTACCCGCTACATACGATCAAATCACATCAAAACTATCAGGGCCCACCCACCTTCTGATATCTTATGTTCCTCCAAATGCTGATCTGCTCGGCTCCTCTCTACTCGGGCTTCTCTTACCCTTTCCGCGACCCTACATATCTTGCCTGCTCTGTAATTCTACTGCAGCGATGGAGCCAAAAAAGTCTCGCGCATTGGCATTTCTCTGACGCATTGGTCCTCTCCTTTTTCCACCCTTGCAGCCCGCTTTCCATTACTACTTTCATGTTTGAGCGAAACTTCCACATTGATTTAATCCTAGTCCTTGATTTGAAGGTTTTTGGCGCATATTGAATGCATTTCACCATGACCTTGCAGTCCAGGAAGAGAAAGAGAAAAAAATGTTTATTTTTTTGGTGCTTCGCGCAGTATTTTTTCTATGATTGTTCATTCAATAATCTCTAGCGTTCTTACTGTAAATAATTAGTAATTCAATATCGGAAACCTTAGTCAACTGGTTCCTGGCCTTTCAGATGTCAGATATCGACCTGGAGTCCGATAAACGGCTAGACAACGATGACGTTCTTCCGTTCATGAAAACCACCGTGGAAAATAGCCATTGTGAAGTCTGATACACAGCTTACGAAAACGATTTTCGAAGTTAAACGATTAACATCATAATAAATTTTATAACAGTCTTTGAGTTTCACAAAATGCCGGCTAAAATGGTGTCTAGTCGTCTATCCGTCCGCATTTTTATTTATTTATTTATTTATTTATCTGTGCGTTCAATGACGCCCTTAGTGAAACATTTGGCTGCACGCAAAATTGTAATGCAGATTCAGAAAAGAACAAATAAAAGGAATGAATAGAAACAAAAATAACCAGCTATAAAAACCCGTGATTAGTTAGTGGACACGTTATAGAAAGAAAAATGACAACAAGAGAATACAAACGAAAGAAAGTCGTTCAGGCAGGAAGGTTTCCCAAATCAAGAGCCGAAAAGTAAGAATGGCACTGTACTTACTGGAACTGACACTAACTTTGAGTTAAAATCTCAAAGGGCTATGAAGGCTCTGGCCTGGAGATAAATGGGATACACGCTGCAGGGTAAGCCAGCACCAGTCGGCCATGATGCCCTTTGCGCCACTGACGGGGTCATGGGAGCTCATCGGCACTTCGAAACACGGGTATGCCGACCACCCACGTGGAACCGATAAACTTGGCAAAACCCGCCGCGCAGCATACCATGACTCAGACCAGAGACCTCATGACCATTTCATTTGGAGATAATTAGCGCCATTTGGGAATCAAAAGTACCATTCACGCCAAGGTGGGACAAGTGAGAAAGCTACTCTGTTTGAACGACCAAAAGGAGTGTACATTATAGGAACAAGGCCAATTGTAAGAGCTACGTTACGTCTTCCACGCCAAGAGTTTCCAAGATATCTAGTCTGTTCAAGGCTGCTTTGAACTGAGAAGAGTTTTCACATGAAAAAACGGATGGAGGCAGACGTGACAGCCAACGGGTTGTGCGTAAGATGAAGCAGTTGTAACGGAGTTGTTTCTGGAGTTTGCCCATTTTATGACCGAAAAACTGGAAGCCGCCTCGTCGTCCACTAGTAGGTCGAAATACCCAAAACTCTGATGGCCGGAGTCGCAGTTCGCCTTTAAGTATCTTAAATGCAAAAACCAGATCAGATATAATCCTTCTGTGAAAAAGACTCTTCAAATTTAATTCCCGGAGACGAGTTCCATAAGAGGGCAGAGTATCAGGGTAGGTCGTACTGGGAAAAACTTTATAATACAAGATCCGAGTAAAAGTTTTCTGAACATTTTCGAGCTTTTGAATGTCTTTGACAAGGTGTGGACTCCAAACGGGGCTACAGTATTCAACAATGGGAAGAATACATGATTTGAAGAGTCTGATCCACACAGCAATATCGGCACAGTGATATATTTCTATATAGGAGATAGACCAACCTGAGCGCTTTGTTACTAACTTCGTCTACGTGGGCGCTCCAACACAAACTTTTCGACAGATTGATTCCTAAGTCCTTCATTACCTCACTATGCTTTATGATAGACCTGTCCGGAAAGCATACTTCGAGTGGGGATGTTCCCAATGAAAAAGAGTACGTTTTGCTGGTATTGATTTCTAACCCCCAGGAGAGGGCCCAACTAAGCATCCTCTCAACAGAATTGTTCAGCGCAACCTGAGCTTCATGTCTTTCCTTTTGCTCATAGGTCACTGCTACTTTGATATCATCGGCAAAACCGGCAACAGTGATTCTGTTGTCGGTTTTGAGATGATCCAGCAAATCATAAGTGTAAATCAGAAAAAGCAGAGGCGAAAGCACACCTCCCTGAGGAACTCCTGACGGACAATCTCTCACCGTCGAAATACTGTCTCCAAAACGCACGCAAAATTTCCACCCTTCTAGGTATGATCTGAATAAGTTCAAGGTACCATCCCTGATTCCAATACTCTCAAGCCTGGCCAACAGCCTTGAGTGTCCCACCTTATCAAAGGCTTTGCTTAAATCAAAATAAACAATGTCAACATTTTTTCCACTGTTGAGGGCTTCAATCCAGGCGTGAGTACAACTGAGTAACTGCGTACATGTGGACGCTCCAGGAAG